CTGTATTTAATAAAATCACTTTTTATTTAGTAATTTACTCAGAGTATGTATTAATACCTGGGGGAACAAACAACTGTGCATATCTCTCTATCAGCGTTATAGAGGGCGAACAATTTATGAGTTTGCCCTGCATAAGCTTTATGCAGGGTAAAACGGATTTATCTGGGTTTAGACCCCATTGGGAATTGGGCATCTGAGTGCTAAAGACAAGCACAATTCTGGGAGCTGTTTTCAGGTAAACTTGCAGCTTTGGGGCAAGTGATTCAGACCCTGGGTTGGTGTTGCAGCAGACTGGAGTGTCTGGCTCAGCAAGACAGGGTGCTGGAGTCCTGAGCTGGCAGGGAAAACAGGAGCAGGGGTAGTCTTTTGCACATCTGGTGGCAGCTCCCAAGGGGGTTTCTGTGATCCAACCCATCACAATCGCAGTGTTGTGTTCATTCCCTCTGAAGCACCTGGCACTAGCCACTGTCAGAAGACAAGATACTAGGATAGCTTGTCCACTGGTCTGACTCAGTATGGCCGCTCTTATGTATAAAAACATTGAGGGGAGGGGGGACACCTATTTCTCACTCCCATGTAGAGCTAAAGAAAGGAAAGGTGGTAGTGACCACTCTGGGGCCCTGAGCTCCCAAGTTGAGACTCCACAATCACAGGAGTGATCACAGGGCTTGGTACCAGCAACTCACGAGCAAGTGCACATGTCCATATGTCAAGCACAGCATTATACTGTAGGGGTATGTGGCTGGTATTGCCAATATTGAACATTTATAATGTGTCAATGTCCAGTTATCTATCTTTGGATGCACGGTGGATGAGGACACAAACACAGAGTAGAGTTTTGTCTGATATAACTTAACTCTGCATTTCCACTTTTTTGTTTTTAAATGTAACCATACATCTGAATCTCTGGGATTTCACACATTCATGAATTGATTTTTTTAATTTTTAAACCATAATTTTCTAATAAAGTTTTTCCCTTAAATATTTGATGCATATTCATAACTTAGTAGCAAATTAAAAAAAACAACCCACTATCAACTTGAAATTACAATTCTGTCTGAAAATTTTGTACCCACTATAGTTACACCTATTTCTCTCTATTTTCTCCTAGCTCATTTACTTTGTGTATTTGACAACATTTTGAGTGTCAGTTTCACACCTTCCAGTGTATTGTCAATTACTGAATCATTTTCATCCTTGCTGAAATAGACAAACATCAACAAGGGAGCAGAAAAACCCTCAACATTTTTTAATAGAATTTAGTTTTTTAAAAAGTCAGAACATAAATATTTAAGGGGTACTCTATTAGCAACTGGCCATGTTTTAAAATTACTTAATATAAAAATACCCCTTTAAATTGAGAGTGTCTTGGAACAGAACTTGTAATTTCATCACTATATCATACTAACTGCTTGATCCCAAGCCCACTGAAGTCATCTGAATCTTTCCAATGTCTTTAGATCAGCTCTAACAGCTTATTTTCTACAGTCAGTGAAGCACAGCTCAAATATCACATTTCTCAAAAAAGAAAATGCTACTTTACAGTGCCTGGAAAATACAGATAATAAAAACAGAATTATCTTCTTACAACATTTAACCAATATTTGCCAGTCAGCTTGCTTACCAGGGTCTTGTATTGGTTTACAAAGACAAACCATGCTGTTCCTTACATAAAACAGAACCTCCTGCAGTGTTTCATTGTATGACAGGGTCATAATGCATTAAACAAGACAATAGACAGGATACAGCATATGTTCCTTCAAAAGAGCATTTTTTTATCCAAGGGAGAGTGGTTTTCTACTGAAACTGAGACTTTAAAGCTTGTCACGTTCCTCCACCTGCTTTTTGAATTCTATTTTTCACTGCAGGTTCACCAAAGTAAACTCAGTGTAAAAACTTTTACTAACTGTGTATCTGTAACATGAGAAACAACTCAGGATTGCTAGACTAAGTGATATTTCACTTTAGTTTCTGATGTCAGGTTGCTTCTTTGCAGATTATTTTGGTTACTTATTTAAACAAAATTGTTGTGTTTGTGTGGGACTCCTTGAAAGTAATTTTTCTGGCATTCTGTCTAGCTTTTTACAGTCATCCTTGCGGTTTGAGTGTTTTCAGATGGTCATCAGTGTGGACTAAATCTGGTACCTTCACCACTTGAGTTAAAGAACTCATCTGATGCGAGAAAGCAGCAATCTGTATTCTTGACAGATCAGCCACTAAAAGAAAACATTATCATAAGCACCAGATCAGTGCATGACAAAAAGGGGCCCTTCCTTGCATTAAAGAGTAATCCCACAACCGCAGAAAGAGCAGCAGATACCAGACTTGCCATAAATGTAGCACTGCCTTAAGGCATTTGCTGACCTTCAGCTGGGATCAGGAAAACTATTTCCCCCCCTCTCCCAATTTATGACACTATACTACACAACTGGCCAGGAGTATTATGGCTGCCTCCTCTCCTTTCTCTGACATCTAGTGTAGGCCCCTAGGACAGTTCACCAGAAGGACCTTGATCTATGCGCCTTGTTCCATTGTTCCTGTTGCTTCTATCAGCTATGGTTTTGGTTGTTCTGATCTCATATATAAGTATCATCTCTCCCTATTTTGTATCCAGATATATTAGTATTTTTCTTTGTTGAAGGGAAGAGGGGATAGTGGAATTCAAAGTTGAACAAGAAAGTAAATCTAGGGGAATTGTTGCCTTTTCTGCTTTCTTGCAATGTACAAGAAGGTTTATGGGGATGAGAAGGGGGGGAGGGCTCTACTTGTTTTTTCATTTTAGAAGTATCAAGAATATCAAGTCTTGTCTTCCCTAGTTTGTTGGAGGTCTCCTTTAGAGGAATCAGAGTTATGGATTGGGAGCTTTCAGCTATAAATTGAAGGGGTTAGGAGTTGATTCTTTAACAAGCGATTGGAAGAGAAAGGTCTTTTGTTAGACAATTGAATCAAATGCATCTTAACAGAAACCAAAAAGAAAGTTTTAAACACTGTAATTAAGAGGGGAAGTGATTTTTATTCGGTCATGTTTCACTTCCTTGGTATCTGTGAAATCAAAGCCTACTAGTCATCCATAGGATCCTCCAAGAAAAACTGGGAAGATCTGACCTGAATTTCCATTGTAAAGAAAGCAGCAGACTTTAAAAAAAAAAAAAAAAAAAAAAAAAAACCCCA